GTTGGCTTAATCCTAAGAATATAGAAGAAAACAACGAGAAGTTAACGAAATTGTAAGTCAAACACTCATAAATTATAGGCCCGAGTCGAACTTTCAATTGCTTCGATTTGAATTATTCGGCGGATGGTTTATATATTATATTATAAACCAAACCATATCATTGATTTGCTCACAAGTAGGGTTTATGTTTATGAATTCAATAAGCAGGGGATTATGCTAATTAAATGAATTGACACATGTTCTTATCAACTAGAGAGGTTCTTTTGTGTAGTTGGTGATGTATGAATATAAAAAACGATAAATCCAGTCATTCATAATAGATAGTTTGCTAGTTTATTAATTTCCAATTAATTAATTTAGATCAACTTAATGTGTTCCATTTGGCAAGGGCTTTTGTTAAAATGATTTGATTAGAAACATGGTAAATTTTTTATTAAATGAGAAGTGTTATTGACACTTCAAAAATCTTATTATACACTCCTCACAAGTGTATTTTTCTTTCCAAATATAGAAAGTTGGAGTGTATAATGAGAAATTTTGAGTGTCAATAACAATTCCTTATTAAAAATCTAAGTGATACAGAAAAAACAGTTGGAAGTGCTTTTTTAAGGCTATAGGTATAGTTAGAGGAAAACAATGAAAGATGATGAAATCGAAAGTAAAATTAACAAGCGGAATTGGACGGTGAAGCAAGGAGACTCAAAACGACGTCGTTGTGAATAAGTAATTTTCCAACATCCCTGTTGTAAGATCTCATTTGCCCTAATAAAAAATTGTCCTGAAAATCTTCTTCTCTCTTTTAAGTAAGAAGAATTCAAACTCAAAATTTATAATACAAAATAAATACTTTTAATCACTTAAACTACAAGTTTATTGTCCCTCTTTCAACTATGAACTACGTAAGACGTTTGAATAACTATTTATTTGGCGTGGGTGAAGAGGTAATAGCCACGTTATTTATTAATATCCTTTGAGTTCTTAAAACCATAATATGTAGTTAGTTTAAAAAATAGTTTAATGTTGCTTGGCCTAAACCCTAAATCTTCTGCACCATAAACTTTCTGTGGTCTCTCTACACCTTATCTCATTTGTTGACACCTAATCATTCATTTAAATCTCGCTTAATAGAGTATATAAAGGTCACAAAAAATTTTGAGCGTAGAAGATTTAAACTCGCATGATCTTGCATCAGATGTAAAAACATTATTTCATCGAAGAATATACAGGTACTTGTTCCATGTGAGAAGAATACAGTTGATGAAATAAAGTCAAGCACTCATAAATTATAGACCAAACCACATAATTAAATTGCTCATTATTAGAGTTCATGTTTTTCTTTAATTCACTAAGCATGCTTATGCTAATTGATTAACAGACAACTGTTCTCAATAAGTGGAGAGATTCTTATTTGTAACTGATATATATCCATTCAAATCTATTTTTTATATGGCAACGAAAGATATTCATACGAAAAGTCATTTTAGTAGAGATGTAATTGGTCATAGGCAGATTGAAAGCTAAGCAGTGGTAATTCTTGAGATACTGATATATATCCATTCATATTTATTCACATTTATTTGATGGTCATAGACGAATTGAAAGCTAACCAGTGTGTAATTCTAATGTGATAAGAGATGTAAATATAAAGTAAAATTATCCAGTTATATGCAAAATTTCTTCAACTTGTGGCAACTAATTTCCAATTTGGATCAAATTAATGTGTTTCGTTTGGAAGCATTTTTGTTTATAAGAGTTTTTTTGTTAAAACTTTTATTAAAATTTTTTTTTAAGACGAACAAGATTTTTAAAATTATATTTCCAAACGTATTCTTAAGCATTTTTTTTAGCAAACGATATTATTCACATTAAGGGGGAACATGGTGAACTAAGCCTTATAATGGACTATTAATAATATGATTCAAATTCGTTTTTGACAAGAATTGTACATAAGATTTCTCACTTATAAGTGATAAAAAAATCACTATATCGTAATACTAAGTGTCTTAAGTTGATAAAAACTGTTTTTAGCAATTTTAGAAGCACTCGCAAATATACCTATTAATTAAGGGATTAAACCTTGAGAAACAAAAACTTCGTTTTCTAGTTTTGTGCTCCACCTACCTTTGGGCCCATATGTGAGGCCTATTTGGAGAAGACCATCATACCTAAGCAGGCCAAGCCCAACTTGAACCCACCCATACTGTAACCCGTAAGCCCAACACCCGTTTATCATTTCTCATCATGCGCTTTAAACCTTCGAACCCTTTGCTTCCTTTCTCTCTCCTCCTCTCTCACTCCTCGGTCCGGCGCTACACAGTCGAGCAAGCTGGTACGTCCTCTCTGTCCCCTTTTCTTCGTATATTTGATTTTAATACTGAGTTTGAATGGATCAAAGGTTTAGTTCTGATGGTTGAAGAGATCAATTTTTTTTTTTGGAGATTTATTTCCTGTAATTTGAGTTACAGATTGTTTTAGTTTCATTGCATTTCCAGGTTGCAGTTTCAATTTTTTTTTTCTGGGTTTATTTAATGAGTAATTCTGTAAGCGTTTGACAAAGAAAGATTGGGGATTTTTGTTCTTCTCCCTTTTGAAGATGCAATGTTAGCCTGTGATTATTAATTAGGTTTTAAAAATTGGGAATGAGAAGGAAAAAAAAAAAGTGTGAATCTTCAGATGGTTTGTATTTTAGAATTTAAGCATATAGAAGTAGTTTCATTGTAGCTAGATGTTTCCCTAGTTCAAATTCTGCTTAAATTCGATCCCGAATATTTGTATTTGGCTGTTGAATTTGTAAATTTTGAGGACAATACTGTCAAATTTTAGTCTTTAGAAACAAGAAATGGAGTTTGTAAACTAATTGCTTTGTGTTTTCTAACAACAACAACAACAAAGCCTTTTCCCACTGAGTGGGGGTCGACTATATGAACCCTAGAACGCTATTGCGCTCGGGTAGCGCAATTTCGTTCAGGATTCATTATCATAAGGATTCGACGTAAGATGAGAGTGTTGGCTGTTGACTACCTGACGACCACCCCCTCCTCCTTTATCTAGGCTTGGGACCGGCAATGTAAGATAAACTTACACAAGCGGAGTTGCTTTGTGTTTTCTAACAAATGCAAATTTTTGTAATGTTACGTAATGGGACTTTTGATTGAAAGTTTGAATCTGAAGTTAGATCTTTCCGTATCTTATGAGTAGGAGTATGCTAGTGTTGTATTCAGAGCTAAGTAAAGTTTAAGTGAAGGATTAGTTTTTTTCTTTCGATTCGGGAATAGAAAACTTAGTTGAGTAAAGATGGTACTTCTTGTTTGCCTCTTTTTCTGTCTGTAATATCGGTTTTTCATTTGGGCAGTTGGATGAGGTGAAATGTGTGAATAATGTTCTTTCGTCCTTTGATAATCTGTTTCTTGGTTTACCATAGTGACAGGCAATTTAAGTTAATTGTAGAAGCAAGACATTCACTGTATCCTGCTGAAGATCTTAGTGGGTTTCAGAAAATGATACGAATCTTAAAGATTAAACCTGTGACGTCTTTCTTTGAGTCTTCTTCAAGCCATAACTTTCTTCAGAGATGCTCTGTAAGTGGGACGGCAAAGGGTAAATCAAAGACAAAAGCTGCAGGACCACTGAAGCGGTCAAAGATCACTGTGAAAAGGGGTAGTGCAGCCCCTGCTGCTAAAGGTGGAGGAGGTCACATAAGTCCGGCGGAAAAGTTATATGATTCATGCTTAAATGCCCCGACACCTGTTAGGTGGTTACCACCAGTACTGAGAAAACGTGAAATAATGCGAGAGAAGATGGGACTTATTAGCAAAGAGCGACAGCGTGAGATTGAGATGCTGAAGAAAGATAAGGGAAAATTGGGAATCCCAGAAAAACCAACAATTATTGGAACACCTGGTTTGGATTTGATATCACTAGGTTTGGTTGATGTGGAGAAGATACCAAAATATAACCTGACTGTTGAAGACGGTAGAAAGCTTGCAAAGGAGTATAGCAGGGTCTTGATGAGGCGTCACCGTGCAAGGCAGGCAGCAGAGTCCACACTGTTGCGGTTGAAGAAGGAGGCGATTGAGGCATTGCCTGAACATTTGAAAGCAGCAGCATTGGTTCCAGATCTTACCCCGTTCCCAGTAAACCGGTTCATGGCAACTCTGACTCCTCCGATTGAAGGTTATATTGAGAAAGTTAAGGAAGCTGCAAGAAAGAGCAGTGCGAAGGAGAAGCTCAGATAACTGGAGGTTGATTTTTTTCTTTTGGCTCCTAATAGTTTACTTCCCTGCTAAATTTTTTTTTCTTTCACTTCTGGGATGATAACTTCTTTTCGGAGATTTGATTGATAAGTTGCGAATCTAGCTTTGAAATAGTTTACCTCTCACGTGCACCAAAACAATCTGCGTTTTTTAAATAAGCTTGAGACTTAGCATGTAGAAAGAAAAGCCATGCGGCATTCACTAGGTTCCATGTCTCTGCTCGCTTAGTTTTGCCGGTTTTCATTTTTTTTCTCGTTTGATATGATTTCATGTTTCTTATGCAGATGGCGTTATGCTTGCGAGGTAGGAGATCGTTTGTTATCAGACAACCAGCACTTACTGAAGTCAGAAGAGAGCTAGTATTTGAATTCACGAAGTCAGCGTGTTGGTGAGGAAGCGATGAAATGGTATTGCGGAATTAGATCTAGTGCTTCGGTCTTGGTTATTAGCAATAATCTGTTTGAATGCTTTCGGAAATTCAATGTCGGATAAGTTTAGTATTTTGACCTAAATTGTTGAGTTTTACATGTTTGCATGGTTTCATGATCTGTATTGAACGCATTAGAAACTTTCTGTGCAAGTTCCAAGTCTTTTAAGATTGTGCAAGGTGTTATGTTAGCAATGCTGCAATGGCCGGTTCGGTAAGCAATCAACGACGGCCCTGATGGCGATGACAGCCTAATGGGGTTTAGGACTCGTTGAGATTGCTTTTGTAAGAAGCACTTATGTCAATAAGCACCTATGCTTGTTTTTTTTTTTTTTTTATAAAAATCATGGTGTTTCTTGCAAAAGAACTTGGAAGCGCTCCTTGAAGAAGTATTTGAAGGGTGCTTCTTTAGAAAGTGCTTATATAACCCTAAGATGCTTCTAACTTTTAAACTGTCAAACGAGTCATAAGTGTTTTTGGTTGTCAAACAATCTTAAAACGGGCCCTTAGAAGATCTGAAAAATCATGAACTAATAAGGGACCCGTGAAATATTAAAGCGAAATGGTATCACACACCATTTTTTTCCTCCTACATACATGTCCTATCTTTTTTATTTTTAGCTGTTGGATTGAATAAATCAAATGAAAACAAGACACGATTGAACATAGATGTGAGGGAGAGAAAAAAGCCGTGTAGTTATCATTTTCTCGAGTTCCAAATGTTGAAGTTTATAAAAATGTGATTGGTTAGAGGAAATAAGGGATTAATAAGTCCATTGATGCCTTGATTTGATGCAGCCTCCTCAAAAAAAAACCAAATTCTAAGCAGTTGACATTTTTAGTACTTTAACAAGGGAGGAAATTAGGAATCTTTGCCTATCCATATGAGGGTGGCAAATGGCTTTCTCAGAGAAACCTCTGCTGGCCAAAGTGATTAAATATTCAGCAAAAAGATGACCATGCCGGAAAAGCACTTTGAGAAAAAGCCATGCAGACTGTTGACGGTTGTTTTTATACCAACCATCCACACAGTCAACTAATCCTAATCATATTTTATTTACACAAGTAAGATCATCATACATACATACATACATACATACATACATACATATATATATGTGTGTGTGTGTGTATGTATATATATACTCCGCCGTATGAAGTGTAACACTATTTTTCCTGTGGTGCTATAAACTTTTAGTGACAATTGAAGATGGGGAAGGCAAGTAGATGGATCATAAAGTTCTTGGTTGGAAAGCAAGAAAAAAAGATTAACGATGCTCCGAAAACTAAGGTTTCGAATGAGTCTTCATCTACCACTTCTGCCAGGCCGTCGGTGAACCGGCCAGGGACGCCGAAAGTGAAGAGAAGGTGGAGCTTTGGAAAGTTGGCAGGCAAAGAGGCGTCCCACAGGGTTACAAGATCTGTTGATTCAATTGACATCTCTAAGTTGTCACAGAAAGTTCAGAAGAATCATGCCGTGGCACCAAGAGATGTCGAAAATGCTGCTGCCACAAGGATTCAAGCTGCCTTCCGTTCGCATTTGGTACGAATTTCCATCCAAAACTCTACTGACATGTTCACGAATCCGTAAACGATTATTTTCAGTATCATTCATAATCCGATTCTAGACGATTTAGTAAGCATCTTTAATGAGAATTCCGGATTCTGACTCCTCGTGAATTCAATTCTTCCTCATGCAATAACATATTAGTAAACATGTCATAAAAAGTTATGAACATCAGAGAGTACGCTAACCAACGTACAAACAATGGAAAATATTATTGACTCGAAAGCCTAAACCCACAAGAAAACCAAATAATAAAACAAACCTAAAATACTAATATTTTCCAACATAAGATTCTTAACTCGAAATCTATTTATTTTGGTAGTCATATTGCTTATGTTGTTTTCAGGCAAGGAAGGCTTTACATGCCTTGAAGGGTTTGGTGAAGTTGCAAGCACTCATAAGAGGTCACATTGTGAGGAAACAAACAACTGCTACGATAATCCAGATGCAGGCGTTGATGGCGATCCAGGTTAGAGCGCGGTTTAAGCGAATTCAGATGGTGGAAGAGACACAGAGAGCTAATAAAAAACAGCTGATCATTCGAAGAGGCCACCCTCTGGACAGTGGAGTTCATAGGGTAAGTCTCCTCCTTCAGTCCGAAATGTTTCCTATTCATGCTATCTGTGCTAGTTTTTGTTTTGATTTATCTTAGCTTACGAAACCCGAGTGAATTTTGCATCAGAAACCCAATTCAGCCTGATACAAACACCCGGGTTTCGAAATCTGAGCTCCTCAAGAAAGCATTTTCTGATAACAACCAAACATGAAGTGATCGTGGTCCAAAAAATGTACCATGCTTACAATGTGGTCTTGTTTATGCAGAAGTCAATAGATTTGAACCCGAATGATGTTCAACGAGTTGCGAAAAGCACGAGTGGACACCTTAATCATTCACAAGCTGCAGGGAGGTTTGAGCATGGCTGCTCAACAGTCTATTCAGATCGTCTTTCCATCTCAAACCGGCATCACTACGAGGAATCCTCTTTTGCAACAGTAAATAGTCCCTGGAATTATCTTGCTGCATCCAAACCAAAACCAAGAAGACACTCTTTCGCTCATCAACCCCAAGATGACACAGACTACGAGGACTTCGCATTCAAGCCAAATTACATGACCAACACGAAATCTTCCAAGGCGAAAGCTAGGTCACAGAGTGAACCAAAGCAGAGGCCTGAAGGAAGCTTGAAGAACAGAAGCAAGCAAATAGAAGTGGATGCAACACTAGTTGCCATGGAGGATCAAGTGCTGAAACGTTCATCTACGCAGTTCAAACCCAACGGTCAGAAAAGCCATGATCCCTGGTTTGTTAAGCTCTACAGATCAAGAAGATTGTTCGAGGACAACAAGCATGCTTCCGTTAGCTCGAGTACTGTCCATTCCTACTATCATGAATCTCTTGCTGCATATGAGGTAAAACTTTATCCTAATGGACAGAACACTGCAGGTTTTTATCGTTGATTTCTGCATTTTTCGTATTTGTCTAATTTGTTGAATATTTGATTTGCAGCCCCATGTGAATTTGTACTAACAGAAAGGGATGCTGAAGAGCTCTTCCAGACTGATATAGAGCATGCAGAGTCCTACACATCAATGTATATCAAAATGTAAACGACATACGTTTTAAGTGGCTCAAGTTCACCCGTTAAAATCTGATGGATTCTTCAGCGCACATTGATGTACTCTAGAATTTTCGTAGCATGCATTTGCACTACTCAAAAGAACTTTCCTATGAAAGATACCAATAACTAATAGTACTGGTTCATGAAGTTCATTGCCATTTGAGGACAATAATTGTATCAAATACCATCATTCGATAAATTTCCAACCATTTCTTGAGAGAGAGAGAGTTAAGCCATCACAGTTTACAAACTAAGTTGAATTCATGGTGATAATGAATTCCTCTTCTGAGATCATAACCTGCAAAATCAGGATCTATCTAGGAGCCTAATTCCTCTTGAGAAGAATGATAACCGAAAACTCGTAACTACAAAAATAATTCGAGTTGGAATTATAAATACATGTTGCAACAGCTCATTGGAATTGATCATCCTGGTTGACAGTATTTTGCTTGATGCTCTTAGTCAACCAAATAGCAGTTTCCCTAGGAGAGACCTTCCCTGGCCCAAAAGGCTTCAGCAACACCCCGAGCTCGTCATATCGTTCGTTCTGGAGCAATCTTGCACTGAATTCGAGCAGCCCTTCTAAAGCTTCAGCCCTTTGCTGGAATGATGAAGTGTCAAACTGCCGGCGGCGTGTGTTTGATGAGGTCCGGCTCGATGCTCCAGCAGTTGCATTTTGATCCGAAAATCCATCACTTTGATTGTCTGGTGCAGCTTTGAACATGCCAGGTTCTATTCCCTGCCATACACCCGTGAAACTAAGTTTGCGAGAGGCTCTGTCGTTTGTCTGAACTGTGCATTTGTCTTTCATCATTGAACGGTCACCATAGTGTGGGGAACCAGACGAGCCTTGCACAGAGGGTGATGAGGTTCTATGGATTGGCAGAAACTGTTCTTCGTATAATTGTTCTTCATACGAGGCTAATGGGAATTCAGCTATCCTGTCAATTCGAGGGGAATTGACAGAAACATCGGGAGATTTAATACAGTGAAGAACACCAACATTGGGCCAGAAAGGGGACTGTTGAGTTGCAGCTCTTGCTAATGGCAATGATGCTCTGCGAGTTGTACTCACTGTCTTCTGCGGAGTGCGAGAAACACGAAGCTGGAAAGATGAATTTTATAAACTCAAACTATTAGACTAGCAAAAAACTAGCCGTTTAGAAACTAAAATATTTTGCAAAAGTATTGCTAGTGCTTTTATGCAGCTTAAGTTTGTTTGAGATAAACTTGCACTTTTTGTTTGAGAGAGAGCGAGAGAGAGAGAGAAATATCTTACCGATGCACGATTCTTTGGCTCCATAAATCTCTTGGGAGTGGCAGAAGCTTTTGCTGGAGTAACTCGACTGTTGACGATATTTGAAGTTTTGGAAGCAATTGGTTGCTTGCGTATGGCTGCTTTTCTATAGGTGCCAGTGCCACCAACAGAATGTCCTGCCAATTCTCGATTCAGATTATTTGACCTGCCATGCATTTCTTGGGTAGAGCTTAAGGAATCTTGCTCACCTCCAGATATACTAGGATTTAAAGTCCTATCATTGCTGAATGTATGCCGCTTCTCCTGGTAATGGGGAGTGGAGAAAGGAACATCTTCTGGCTCTGAAAATCTTGTTTTCTTCAAGTAACCGGTGTCAGGCCAGTTGACCGCTAAAGTTCCATGTCTGGGGTTATTGAGTTTGAGATGAACCTTATGAACATGAGGCTGAAGGACTGGGTGAGCAAGCAGCTCTGCAGCCTGTCACAATAGAAACACTTCAAATCAGATGAAAAGTTTGAAAGATGTGAATTGTCACAATTCCTAGGAAATCTGATGTTACAGGAATCGGACTAACCCGAAAGATATGCTTTTTATATAGATTGTATGAAACCGGTCATACCAGGCAACACTGAATTGATAATACGTATTCAAAATGTTTTGAATACAATGCTTTCGAATTCATAAGCGGAAATTACAAAATGATTGACAATCAAATAAACCAGACTGCACCAGAGGAGAAGTATACGTACACTTGGCCTGAGTTCTGGGTTTTTCCGAAGCATGCTTTTAATAAGTGTTCGGCTGAAAATAGAAATACGGAAAGTGATTAGATAAGTAATATTCACTTATGAAGGGCAACTTAAACACATCCGCCTAGAAACACGAGGTAATAGAAATTCAGGCTATTAAAGCATCTGTTAGTTTTGTCACTTGATTTTATCCTTGCACAATTTAAAATGTTGCGCAAATTTTTAATGATCTTATGCAGTAAGGAAGGCAGCTAAACGTGCAATGGATATTGAATAGCCACCAAAGCCAAACGAAAAACCAGATAAGGACTCACAATGCACCAGTGTACTTTGTGGGAAGGGGAGCCACTATGGACCTGTTAATTTTGTTAATCAGTGCTTGTATATCCTGTTAAAGAAACAGAAAAGAAATACGTAAGGAAAAAAATAGCTTGCGAGAGAAAAAGGAAACAATTTATAAATGCAGAGGAATATAAAACATTTTCTTTAAAAAGAAACTGATTAAGGAAGCACACACAAAGGAGGTAAAGCAATGCATCTCTGGATATCTGAAATATGAGAAATACAAAACTTACAAACGCTTTAAAGGCGGCTCTATGAGAAGCCATTTCATAGATGCAGCATCCTGGATCAGATGTGTTCAGTACAATACATATTGCAGCTAAAGAAGAACAATAATCGACGACAAAAAATTCACACATATTCAGTGCTTACCTAAGGACCAAATATCTGATTTTGAACCATAAGGTATATCAGCAAGAAGCTCAGGACACATATAGCTAGGAGTTCCGACAACCTTAATCAAGAGATAATGAATTTTAATATAGATAGCTTCAAGATGTTGTGAATATGAACTTCAGAAAAGGACCACAGTTACTTACCGAAGAGGCAAGATCATCCGAAGTCAACTTTTTGGCAAGTCCAAAGTCACCTGCTCCAACGTTTATCAATTGTTCAGAAAAATTACACTCCGCTTATGGAGAACTGTAGAAGATAATAGGATCACTTACCAAGGCGTATGTCTTGATCTTTTGTCAAGAATATATTAGAACACTGAAAACAACCATAGACCACTATTAGTACAAATTAGCTTCAGGGAATTCGAAGGAAGATAGCCACACCCATCTTCCCAGAGTGCACAGGACGAAAAATGTCACTAACCTTGACATCGCGATGAAGAATATGATTCCTGTGCAAGTAATCGAGTGCCATCAGAAGCTGGACAAGCCACTTACAGAGCTTCTGAAAAAAGTTGATTTCCATATTAGATGATAGGAGGCGAAATTACAGTTACGTAATGCATAAAAGCGACTATGTGACAGGAATGTGTTTTTAAGAAAAAAAAACAATTTTGCAGGAGGAGAAAACAAAGAGAAAAACAAGAGTTGAAGTAACTTCAAACCTCTTCAGGGAAAAGAAGACCGTTGGCCTTTTTTATAGCTTCTGCCCTGAACCATACAGAAACACAGAATGAGTGCCTGGCAAATGATATGCAAGCCTTCAAGTCAAAGCAAATGAATATACACATTACACATATAAATATAAGAATTTTAGCATGATACAAAACTTACATGTCTCCGCCTGCACAATAACCTATAATAATGCACACATAGCAACCCTGAAAACAAGGGGTATGAACCAAGTTTAGGCCATATCAACTAGCTAGGCTACCATAACTCCAATGTATCCAACCGGGAATTAATAAACAGATGCAGCAATATATCACATACAGAAGAAAAGGAAAAGTGCACCACCGAGCACAAATACACTAGATACAGTTGTGGGCAAATGTACCTTTTCCACCCAAGAATCTTTGTACTCCACAATAAATGGATTTTTGAATTTGGAAATGAGCTCCATCTACACAAACGAGGAAAGTTGTCAATCTGGAGGTATCCGATATACATAATAAAGCCTGCAGCAAACTCCATTTTTTTCTTTCCATGTTTTCTTTTACTAAAGTCGTCTAGAAAATGAATGAGATTTATTGGGTATGGAAGATTATCCATTGAAGGTCGTACCCAGTGCACAAGGCTCCCGCTTTACGCAGGGTCTGGGAGAGGTGAATGTTGGCTAGCCTTACCCCCATTTATGGAGAGGCTGCTCCCAAGTCTCGAACCCGAGACCTACCGCTCATGGCGAAGGCACTTGCCATCGCACCAAGTGCGACCTCTCTAAGATTATCCATTGAAGCCCGAAAAGAAATGGAAGATTAGCAGCACACACAAGTAATGTGTTTAGTTCCTTGAGACAAATATTAACAAAGAATACTAACCTCCTGGTGTGCAGATCTCCGTGATCTGTCAGTCTGGCGGGCAAGGCGAATCTTTTTCAACACATACCTTCATATATCAAAGAAGCAAAATTAACTCTGCCCCAAACTTCGCATCACCATACAATAAGGAATAGTGGACCAGCTCATGTTCCCATGAAAGTAAAAATGGATAGAGGTAAAGAAGAAGGAAAAGTAAAATCCAGTCTTACTTCTTCTTTTCATGCTTATGCCTGACAAGAAGCGCAGAACCAAAAGCCCCCTTCCCAATTTGCTCAAGAACTTCATATTGCTCCATGTTTTAGACTAAAAACTTTTCACTGAATAAGAAACAAAATGGTTTTAATCTCATATACATTCCCAATAGCGAAACCAATTCTTTTTTATTCTTGGAATGTACTTTGACACGAATCAAAAGTAGCATTTCGGCAGCAAGGGAAAGCTCCACCATATGTGAAGTTACTCAAGATTTGCATAGCTTGGAAGATTGCAGTTCTATTTTTCTTGAGAAACAAACAAAGTAAACGCAAGAGAAAAACAATACCTTATTTTTCACTCAAGAAAATTGATAAGCCCTTGAAAGCAAAATGTGGTCAGCAATAGTTACCCTTTCAACTACTTTCAGTACAAAATTCAAGTCGACAACCCGAATTATGCTTTCTTTCTAGATGAATGTCCGGTTCTTTAATGTTGAAAATCAAATGCGGTAAAAAGCAGCTGAAATTACATAAACATTTTACCAAAAAGAAGTAAAAATTTGAACTTTGTGTCCAAATTATCCAATTAGCTCAGCCAAATGGTGAATTTATCCTCAAAACCAGATCCCAACAGTAAGAAAAACCATGAATAGCACAATATAATTCTCTCTTGCTCTCTCACATTTTCTCAGCAACCAAACAATGTAATACACACAGTAAAAACTAAGTTCAAATAAAGGAAAAAAACCGAGTAAAAATGATAAAAATTAAGCAAATTGCTTCATATAGAATGGAAAATGCAACTCAAAACTAAAAACCCAAGTCAAAATTTGCACTTTGATGTCAAAGAAAAAGAAAAGTCAGAGAATTTAAGCTGGAGAGAGAAAGAGGAGAGAGAGAGGGGGGGGAGAGATTCGGAGGACCTGAATGTAGAGTGAGTGAGTTGGATCGAAGAGATCACAATGCAGGTGAGGGAGGAGACATTTCGGGTGGCGGCAGGGGAGTAGGAGCTGAAAACGACGTCGTCACAGGACCAGTAGAGCAGGGAGCAGAAAAGGAAGAAGAAGAAGTAGAAGCTGCAGAGGAAGTTGCAGTAGTTCTTTCCCCCATCCGCCCATTTGGGTTTTTACTCTCCAACTCCTCGACAGACAAACTGTCAACTTCTTAAGAGAGAGAGAGAGAGAGAGAGAGAGAAAGAGAGGGTGATTGCATTGCATTGCTAAATTGCTATCTAATAAATAGAATAAAGAAATGCTAAGAAGATTCAAAATCAAGCTTCTTTATGAACTCTCTGACCGCTCATGTTTTTGCAGTAATATTTTATAATATTGACATAAAAATTAATGTTAAACTGTAAGGTATCAGATAATTTATATAGAGTTATACTTTGAGACACTTTCTTTTGACACGAGTATACCACCATGTTTTGTGCTAATGATACAATATTAATTATAACGTTTATTTTACATAGAGTAAATTGTAACAATAGTCCCTCAACTGAAAATTCATTACCATTAGTCCCTCATCTCATCAAAATGTGTAGCTATGGTCATTTTCGTTAACTTCGTCAAACTTTTATCAAAATGAGTTATGTTGGAAAGACAATTGCTACAATTAGGGTCCCTCAACTCATCAAAATATATAGTTATAATATTTTTCGTCAACTTCGTCAAAATTTTGTCAAAATGAGTTATGTTGGAATGACCATTTTTACCATTAGGTTAAAGTTGAGGGATCATTGCTCCAATTGGGTTAAAGTTGAGGGACCATTTCTCCAGTTGGATCAAAGTTGAGGGACCCGACCAATGGTTATGAATTTTTAGTTGAGGGACCATAGCTACACGTTTTGATGCAGTTTGATCAAATTTCAAGAATCTGGATTGTTTGATGAGGATGATTAGATGGAAGGGATCAAGAGATGATCCTTTTCCATTTTGTACAAGTTGTTCTCTTGAAAAAAAATATTAGATTAAGTGTTAAACAAAAAAATTAATATAATTAATTAAGGAAACTGTTATTAACATTCTAAAAATCTCATTATACATTCCTTACAAATGTATTTTTCTTTTTAATTATAGAAAGTTTGAAGTGCCAAATAAGATTTTTGGAGTGTTAATAACAATTCTCTTAATTAATTGATTAATTAATAGTAATTTTTTTAGTATGATTTGTCTGGGGTTGTGAAAAGGAGAGAAGTGATAGGAAGTACCCTGTAGTTTTATACTGATAAACTTTTTAGTGTGACGGAAACACGATTTGATCTAAATTATACTCAAGTGATTGGAGTATTTCTTCAAAATATCTAATCATTTATATTATGACAACTGGTATTATAAGTCGTGTTCCCAATATACTAAAAAATCTCACCTCTATGTGGCACTAGGGGGAGGGGACACTAACAAACAAAAGGGATGGGGAGGAGAAGGCTTCCATACAGAAGCCAGATCGGAGGGCTCGGATGAGAGGGGAGGCTGGGAAGCTGGGAGGATGGACATGGCCCCACTCATTTTGTCACACAGCTTTATTAAATATTTTAGACTTTGGAGACTTTATTTTACTTATTTTTCTTGGATTGTTAAGAAATTATAAATAAATGTTGCAGATGAGAATCGAGTTAATTAGTCGAGATTGTTATTTTGTCCTGATGTGAGTTGGAACAGTCTTTCTCATATGTTGGAGTATCATGCAATATCGTCTTGTTAAAAATAAATTTTACTAATATTCAAAGAATAATGATCAACTCATTACGTCGAAAAAGACATGTTTTATCACTCACACATGCTTATATTACAGGGTAGTAAGGCTCGTTTAGTAGATTGCAAGCTACGACTTTGACTAGCAACAAGCTAAGAAAGAAAATATTTAAATTGTTTCAAGGCAAGATTGTTAGAGCAGTATTTTGACTAAAACATTAATAAGGAAATTACAATTTAATGCATACAAAAACGTTAATCATTAGGGTAATGCTAGGTAGACTAAATTTTTAACCAAATGATGTATTACGAATAAGAAATATCATCTTACATGTCAAGAAGATAGTCAAGTATAAAGGTTTTACAAAAAGTTCGTAATTAAGGTAGTTAAGAACATTCACTATTACTATTGAGTTCCGAAAACCAATATCGAGCCCTTAAAGAATAGCGTTAGAGAGAATAAATTTGTACATAAAATTTACAAATTCAATGATGTGTCACCAATATGAACGAGCATGTTTATCAATGATTAAGTCATATCTAATCATCAACTTCTATATTATTTAGTTTACACAATTTTATCTACAAATTTAATCTCTCTAGCATTACCCGCCATCAAATATTGTTTGTATTGGAAAAGAGTAGAAATTTCTTATTAAATTATCACTTAACATATCAACTTATCCATAACCATTACCAACTATCCATACTCGATAAACAATTCAAATTATTTTTAGGCGTAGTTATGGCAATCACGAGCAAACTTTCATGTGAACCCATTTATTTCAAATTCCTTTCTGTTGGCAATGTTGCAAATTTCTTCCATGTGTCAACCGACGTACCATAACATAATCAGATGATATTTTTAGAAGAGCAACATGTATGAAACGAATGCATTGTCATATGACGTTTCGATCCATAATGTAAAAAAAAAATATATATTATACATAACACTACATTATTAAACCGAAATGTAATAACGACTGTAAACTCGTTTCATATAAATCATTCTCCTTTTTATTTGAAAAAAAATATGCTAAAATATAGAATGAAGGTTTTTTTAGCTAAAACTCTTCAATTTGGTCTCTAACAATGAAAATTAATAACTGTAGTCTCTACCTTAGAACGTCGAACATCAATGTAGTCATTTCAGTACGTTTCCTCCGATAACCATGTTCGTGTGCCGACATGGCATATACATGCGGTGCCGACATGGCATATACATGCGGTGCAAGAAGACCGACCAAGTGAAGCAGCGTGCGGCCCACACCATCTCTCGTCGCCCATTCGATCCGCACCAACCAATCACGAAGCATGGCATTCAGCGCCGCTTAATCCCCAAATGACCAAATACCCCTCAAAATGTTCAACCTCCGGTCGACGTGCGGCGAGCACGTTCATGAATTGACTTGTATAATAATTCCGGTAAATTTGGAGATCCAACATCGTCGGATTTGATTGACCTCGAGTTCTTTGACTCATGTTCATCTATACATATGCATCAACTTCTCTTTCAGTAGCTGGTTTCGACATATGTGAAATATATGATTGCAGGCGGATTTGCTACATTAAGACATCATCATGATTATTTTTGCGTATGGTTCACTTTCCTGGTGCTGTTATTTCTAGGTTTCCGAAATGAGAGAATGAGGAAAGGCGCGCTACAACTAACATAATAGTCAGCTGAAAAACACTAGCCAACTAGCAATAGCTTTCTCTGAAATGGCTCGCTTCTTCAAGCTCCGCACAACCTATACAAGTGTCTAGCCGTTTTTTTTTTTAATTATTATTTTGAATCCTAGACTAAAGAAGGAGCTCCTGAATCAGAGCTGGGCCAAATCAGCAGCAAGAGAACGGTACTAACTTGACGCCGTTATTTTTCAGGGCTCCGCAGGAGAAGAAGAGGGTCTGAGTCAATTTTCTAATGAAACGAAGGTCCCCCTTACTCTCTCTTTCTCTTTAAAGCTTTATAAAGCTTGGTGAGAAGGGGTTGGTTATGGTTGGTTACGGTTTGATGTGTACGGTTGAGTGATATTTCTCTTCACTTGTAAATGAGAGGTCTTAAGTTCGATTCTCACCAAAGACGAGTTTGAACCACATTATTGCTAGCCTCTCCCACCCCCTTAGTGTAGATAATATCGCTTGTTCAAAAAAAAAAAAGATTTTCATTGTAATTTGTGCAATTTTGTGTTATAAAAAAAATTGAGAGGTATTATTTTGAGCTATTGTATGGGCACGTTTACTTACATTGTATGAGTATTAGAACAAATGAGGGATGAGAATGAATGATTGAGATAAACAACTCCTCCTTTGTTAATAGGATACCCAATGTTAAAATATCTACGAAATTGTCAATATTTCTGTCAAGATACCCGAAAAATCAAGGATTGATATGGAAAGGGGGTGAAATGCAAAATTCACCCTATATCAACGAGATATAAGAAAATAAGTGAATATCGACAATATTTATTGATTCATTAGAGAAATTTTGGTAGAACCTATTGCAAATTTCGAAATTTTTTGAGAAAATTTTCTCTAGTTTCAACTAAATCTAAATGAGTTGATAAACTGATATTGATATCAATATATCCATTGATATTCGCATATCAATATTTTCACATATATCAATATTTTAAACACTGAGGATACCTTCATTTTTAAGATATGACAAACCAAAAACATATGAGACCCACTTATTTTCATTCATTTGGTTAGTAGTAAACACATAAATAAAAATTATACTCATTCCTTCGAATTTCATCTCTTGTGAGTAAACCCTAGCCAACTATCGTATATCACCCGCACTTATCATATATCAAATGCCTTGGTTCTTGATGGTTGCCGGTTGACAAATCCTCATAATTTTTTTAATAATAGTTACTCCTACACTGGTTATCTGCCTGCATTCTTACGTTTTACATTTAAAGATTTTAATAAAAATCAGACGCGTTAGGTTGTTCATTTCATGCCTGACTGTTTATCTTTAGAGCAAAAACCCAAAATATAGGTTCACAAGAAAACAAAAAAGCCCCAAAAAGTTGTAATTCTTGTTGCTACAAATTCATTTTTTGGCACAATTAAAATGGTCACGGTTTTTGCAGGTATGTTTATAGGATGCATAAATAGCAGTATTCATCCACACTTCCCCACCAAATTAAAAAAGAGGGAGAAAGCAATGCCTTTTCTCATGTAATGTAACCTCTTTTTATATCCTGCAATGGTA